AATAGATATATTAGAAGATAAATATGATTAATTGGACTGGAGTCTGATAAAAAGAAGCCCAGTTTAAAAATATTCATTTAAACGCATAAAGTACTTATAAGGAGAACCTTGGAAGAGTTTGAACTCAAGTTAAATTAAGTATGATTCAACAAAACTGACACTCCCCCATCCAACTGCATAACTCCAATGAAGTTAACATGACATGACTAATGAATTTTCCAAATATCCACAAGATTTTTGGTAAGTTTAGGGTTTGTTTATTCTTTTGTTTTTGCATATTTACATTCATTTCAATGTAAATTTTGTAAACTTTTTTGGAAATCCAAGCCAAGATTGAAAAACACTTCATAGTAAGATTTTCTGGGTTATATAACAGGATGTTTTTTTTTTTGAACTGAAGTCTATATAAACGGCATATGTATGTACAGAAATGAGTAGAGCATGAGAGAGGTACCCAGAGATCTTCAGAGTACATGTTTCACAGTTGAACAATTACAGATGTCTCTCAGTGCATCAAGAGTAGAAAAGTGTAATTGGGACAAAACTGGCCCATAGCTGTTGTACAATTTTTAATTTTAAAATGTTGCTAATTTTTCAAGTGTAATTCTTTCTGTTGGCATGTTTACACCCTTTTCAGCAAGATCACTTGACACTAAAGAAACACTTCAATCAAAATCATGACCAATAAAGCCAGTGTGTGTTATTTTCTAACAGAATCCACTAGATGACATGAATTCTGTTGACAGAAATGAATTATTGAAATTGCAAGCCACTTTCATCTCTTCTGTTTTCACTTTTAAAATTCACAATCCAGACATGAATTGGATAGAAAGATGCATTGAAATGTCACCTTTCAAAATATGGATAGTTAAATAGAAAAAATCCCATATGACAGGTTATATTCTTAAAAAAGGCTTCCAACTATATGTTTTTAATGTATGCACAAGGAGAGGGAATGAAATGTAAACAATACATGCTGTAAATGTTATCAGTTCAGCCACTGATCTCCCCAGGTTGTATTTCCATCTTCAATCTAGTCAGTGTTCACCAAAAGCTCTGTAAGAACATGATACATGCTAATACAATAAATGCAAAACAATACTCTTAACTCCCCCTCCACAGGATCTGAGCTCCCGCTCTTCTTTTTCCCTTCCTCTCATTCACTAGCTTCACTAACTTTGTAGAGTAATACTAACCTTAAGGGTCAAGCAGTATCCCCCACCCCCCTCATCAGTTGGGCTAGTGTGTCATCTCATTAGGATTGGTTTTTTAGTTTCCCAAAATCCTATGACATCAGGACTGACAGTGAAGTCTACTGTGAACCCTTCTATGTGCATTATGTAATACAGACAAAATTGTGTAATCCTGGCTGTGGTAAACTTTTGTCTCTATGTCCAAGCACATGTCAGATTCAGAACTCTTTCAATAAAATGCACAACACTGTTGATAACTGTAACAACAGGTTTGAATATAAAGAAAAAACTGCTTGAATATAATCTCTCTATTATCTACTGCCAAATCAAGTTCTCTACGGTGGGATGATGATTTGGGAAATATCGCAAATTCTAAAGTAATAACCAGTCAGTTGACTCTTCCTCAATTCTTCAAAGTAATAGTCAGTCAATTGACTCTCACACAATTCTATCATGTGTGTTTTCACACTGGTCCAGGAATTGTAGGTGTACTTTTTAGTGATGACTGGAGTATGAGCAGTCTTGGGCTGGTCCGAGCTGACTTCTCCAGGTTGGGACCAATCTCTGACTGTTCATTTTTACACTTCCACAGGAAATGCAATCAGAGTGAACCACTGGTTCTGTCAACTTGTCAGCCAATTTCCTATCTGTCTGTTGGCTTGGAAGTGGGGGGGGGGGAAAGCTGTCACTTATATAGATGACCCCACCCTCCAAATTTTGACATTGATATATCTAATTTCTTCACTGACTAGGAGACCTTGTTTAAAAAAAAAAAAAAAAAAAAAAAAAAAAATGTACTTCCTTTGTTTTAGAATCTTCCTAGGTATCTTTCTGTAAAGATAATTATGTTTTGGTGCAACATAAACACAGACCAATTTTGAACACAAACCAAATGTTTTATTCCTTTTCAAGTATAATTTGTAAGAACACACATTCTGAATGGATAGTGTAGTTTAAACAAACTAGCAAATTTTAATTTCTCACAGGGTTTCCATAGATTTGTGCAAAAAAAAAAAAAAATCCCAGGACATTAAATTTCAAGGACTGAAACCACCCACATACACACAAAGTGACTGTTCATCAATTTTAAAAACAAAAATTCTACATATATTGGTGTTCTAATACATTTGAAAATTTTGAATTACACACTTTAATTCTAACTGATATACATTTCAGCTATTTAGATTACTCATGGTTTGTGAATGTCCCAAAAATTCTTGATTGTTGTACATTTCCTGTGAAGTTAAGCATAATGGTTTTAATGTACAGAACTAGAAATAGAAATTTTCACAAAAAGACTACACATTTTAGCTACACTTACTATTCATGGCTTTCATTGCACAGAACACAATGAGGTTAATATTTTTTCAATTCATCAACTTTAGCATTCAGTTCCTCTTCCAATTTTGATATCTCTATGAACTTGTCCTTTGCAGATCTTCACATAGCATTGGACTTTGTAATCAGTGTGAAGTTCTGAGTTAACTATGCAGAGAAAGCGGAACTGTCAGCTGACTTGAGCAAATCTTGTGTGCAACTTTCAAGCTTGTGTTTTTTGATCTTCAATTTCCATAAGCATGGATTTTCATTTTTAATCAGCTGCTTCTTCCTTTTTTCTTCTCAGCCTCAAGATATTGGTTGTATGCTGTTCCAGCATTGGAAGCACTGCAGAGAAGAGCCTTAGTTATGGGAACATTCCCAGCACCTCCAACTGTCCATGATAAGGCTCTGTGCAACCAGAGTCTGCTGTTTCATGTTTCATCAGTGGAAATTTCCTTATTGACCAAGAAACATTTCTCCACTGAGGCCTGTCCATGAGAGAATACCAGCAATCTGCGAAGAACTTTCCAGTTTTTGATATTCTTTGTTGCTAAAAAAAAAAAGTAGAACAAAATGTCCAAATGGTCTTTATGCTTGTTGCTGAAATTCTTGAAAGCAATATTTCCAGCCGCCTTCTCCTCAAACTCTTTATACTGACTGTCCATTAGGTGGGAAAGACATCTTTTAGACTGTCTTCTATAGCAGTTTTTTTCCACAAATGGATTCAGAGTTTAGCCATGCAAGTGACCTTACAAGAGGGTATCTAAGGGGAAAAGTTTCGCAATGATGGCGATGAACATTGCATGTAAAATTGCAACAGAGACAAACAGATCTTTTGTTGATACATTTCCTTTTTTGGATAAATTTTGCAGTCCTATCTGCCAGAAATCGTCACTCAATCTTTGCATGTTTGGGTTTGAGAAAATTCATTAATTTCAGTCATTATTAGCCTGCAAACTTAAAAAATAACATTTTTATTTTTTCAAAAAGGTACATTTTCTATTCTATCATCCTTCCAGTTTACATTTTCTTTGGATCAAATTTGATTCTCAAACTTGTTACTTTTGGCAACAATTTAGACAAACGTAGTTTACATAGATACACATTGATAAGGGATGTGTAAATTATCTATTTTTTCAGCATGAATTCACATCCACTCCATGGATGAGATCAAAAGGACTTTTTTTTTTTTACTTTTGAAATTGACAAGTGAATAAAATTTCTTCAATTGTTCAAATTTTAAAAACCGCTAATAAATTTTTCAAGATTCTACTAATATGTATTAACTTAAAATAATTTATTATTTTCCTTTCAACTACAAATTCAGTGAGTGTGAATTCATTTATCTTTGATGGAGATGTTTACTTGTCTCTGACGCCTTTTATCTTTGCTTTTCCTTTCTTTTTTTTTTGTAGCATCTTGAAGAAGATGCCTTCATATTCTTTCTCATCACCTACACAAGAAAATACAGAAGTAACTATGAGGTCATGAACTCATTCATGTTTGGTGACATGATTTTGGTGAAGCACCATTGCCCCTTAAGACATTTTTTACCAGTTCATTTAGAATATCTTATCAAAATTTTCTTAAAACAATTGTGAAGAATAAAATTGCAATAGAACAAATGAGATTATGTTAATAAACAGGTATAAAAACAATCAGATTAAAGTTTTTAAGTTTATTAAAATTAAAACCAATTTTTTTTTTTTCATAAACAGACAAGCACAGGACAAAACAGTGTAGAATATTACATTGCAGGCAAAATTTAAAGTATAAATTTGTTTATATTAAAAAAAAAAAAATTAAAGTTGTCAAGAACTCAATTTTATGATAGTCTGCTGTAGAGCGGTGGGGAAGGAAGAGAAAAACCTGTAATTTTTTTTTTTTAATAGAAATTAATGATTTATCCCCAGGAATTTAGAAGCCTTGAACAATGATGGTATGTTTTTATTTTAAATATATATTCTTTTTATTCATAAATTATGAAAAGAAAGAAATTGAAATTGTGCCCAAACATAGATTGTAAATTTATTTAAGGACACTGTATGTATAAACATGCATGTCAAATCAGGTTGATCATTCGGCAGAACATTAAATTTTATTACAGAAATAAAATTTTTACCAACTTTAAAAGCTAAAAAGAAAAAAATCACAGTATTTTGATCAGCAAGCCATGGAGGCCAAATGAATTAATTTCATTTTAATATCAGAACTTTATTATTAAAAATTTACTTTAGAAAACATCTGATGGTAAATCACAGTTGTTATGGAGAAGATAAAAGAGTTATGAAGAATCTTTAATAAATGGATCACTTGCTGCTTGATAAAGCTCAGTATGCTTATCTATAGATTGGCATAACAGCATTTGAAATTGAGATCTACAAGCAGACAAAAGAAATGAGAGAGTAATTTGAAATAAAAAAAAAAAAAAAATCAGCGGAGCACCAATGGCAATCTTGTTCTTGTCCAAATATATTCAGCCAGGCATTACTCCTGGAAATGCAAACAGAAATATTCAATTTTTCACAAAATTTGTACAGGATTGATAAAATTGTCAGAAAACAAAATTTGACATAAAATCATTTTTATGAAGCATATGGAATTCAGTATCATTCTAAAAAGAGAGAGTATTACTGATACCAACACCATGTCCACTGTTTCTATTATATAAAACCAAATATTTCAATCACATTTCTGACCTCCCAAAATTCAGATAAGATATTGCATTGTTTTAGTAACATAGGCTCACTCAAGCCTAAAATCATCTGAATCACGCAAATTTGCCTTTTTTTCCTCCATGTTACCTTACTTTTGATTTAGTTCTTTTTTTTTTATTTAATGATAGGGGTGTATCATTGAATAAAACTAAATTATCTTGGCTAATAAAATAGCATTTGATAATTGTATAAAGTGCACACATACTATGCTGATAAGAGACAAGTGTTGATATAAATAATCTTATTTTTTACAAGTATTATACTGGTTGAATATAAACAAGAAAATGCAACAAGGAGTATAAGGTAAGTAAAATGTAATTGCAAAATTATTTAAATATGCTATCATTTTTTCAACAGTGCAAGTAAACTATCATGTGTGATACAAATCAAGCTTTCTTATTTTATGCTTGTTTTCAAGGCACACTAAGCATAAAGCAAGATAAAAATTCCAATCACTGGAATTTTCTACCATAGTGCAAATAATGGGTAGAAACACTTGAACTCAGTCACATTTGGAAGAAGTTCAAAAGATAAGATTGTTGAACTTTTCTAAAGCTATAAAAACTATGAGAAAACAGCCAAGTACCACGATAAAACCCGATATATCTGGCCTGTTTTGAGTTCAATTGTTCAACTACTGAACTCATTCTTTATAAAAAGAAACTTCATGGTGTGAGATTTTATAATGCAACTTAAAAGTTCTTCATCACATTATAAATAAATATATAAAACAGTACAATTATTGATATTTTTAATTTCAGATATATAAAGATTGCCATGGGTCATAAGGACCTTAAAAGAGAAAATCTATTGTAAAGCACTAAATTGGAAATTTCAAAAATTCAGAGAATAATCAAAATTGAAAATATTGGCAAAATAAGAATAAGGAAAATACTTGAGGAATGTCACAAAAAGTTTGAGAAAAAATAAAAAGAATCAAGAAAAGTGGATTTACTAGCAACAAAATATTTGAAAATTTGGTGTTGCAAATGTTAATAGCCAATCATAGAAACATGCAAGTTGGATGAAGAAGTATATAGAAAACTAAATTCTCAACAGTAATTTTTATTGATGATTTTAACTGATGGTTGGGTCCTCCATGGAAATAGTCAACCAACACTACTTAAAAAATGATAGTGGTATAATGTATTGCAGGCAGTAAAATTATAATTCCTTTCAAAATTGATGATGGTTCAAGATAAATGCAGAGAATTATAAGTTCTCGGAAAATACATTTATAATACAATTCATAACTAAGAAGTTAAAGAGTATAGTTCTCATAGTAGAATGCTACTTTACATTCTGCAAAACTTACCACCTTTCCAAAAGAAATCTTATAGAACTGATGAACTAGTATGAACATGTAAAATAATGATCTATTCTTTTATGTGGGATATTGCATTAATAAATGTTTCTCTGGCCTATATATTTAAGATTTATTTATAAATTTATGTTGCACTTTGTTTGCATAACAAATCCTGACACCTGCAAAACAAGTTAAATTCAAACCCAGAATAAAGTGTCATTACTAAGCACCAGAGCCAGTTTCATTTAAATGTCAGATGCTGTTGACATCTGCTGATGTTTGCATTGCATTTTCTTAGCATCAACAATGAAACATTTACAAGTGATCAGAAAATAAGAAACTAAAACAGCAGTTCAATTACTTGATATGTAAATTATTTCATATGAATTTAGAAGGTATTGGAAAAGGGGGTGTAATGGTGAAACCTTAAATGAGTAATTACTGCCTTAGATAAGAGGAAAGCTAAGTTGCATTGCTATTTACAAAGGTATTAATTTATTTATTATTTCAAGAATCCATATTATCACCTAAATTGTTGTGGCAGAATTTTGCATTGAATTGTTATTTTTAAAACAAAAATAGCAATGACATTCTTTTTTTCAGAGGCTCAGAGATAAGATTACCAAAAGATTTTGTAGAGTGCACAGAGAGAATACAGTTTAAGTGTCAAGGACAGGGAACTCAGAATATAACAATAGTCAACTAAATATTAAAATTGAAATTAATTAAAAAAAAAATGGTCAATAAAAAATTATTGTAGTATTAGAGTGGTATGATAAATGTGAAGAGTAGGATGCTTGGTGAGATAGGGGCCAAATTAAAATCAATTTCAAAATTCAGTTTCCAAAATTAAATGCTCTTGGAATTGGTACATACCTGATTTTCAGATTCTTCTGTTTTTTTCTAAAAAGAGAAAAAAATTGTAAATAAGCTGCAAAGATTAAGACATTTTGAAAGAGAAAATTAGTTCTAGAGATCATGCAGGGTTGAGAGAAAAAAGAAGACTGGACATCTGTACTGGCAAAATATGGTTAGTAGAAGAATCAGTTTTAATGAAACCTGCTTTCTTATTTTTCTTTGGCAGTTTAAATAGAAGTTAGTGAAAGGAAATAATTCACTCCCTGTGTTAAAAGACAAAAAGTTAAAACCAAAAAAAATGTAATAATAGGACAAAAGGAACTTTGTAAGGATTTAGAGTTTTTCATATTTTTTTTTCTTCTTTCAAGAGAGATTTGCATTTTTTAATCTCTTGAATTAGCTAAAAAAAATTAGATTCCAAAGAAAAAACACAATATTAAAGGGAGAAAAAATGTACATTTTTTAAACTACTTTACAACACATTAAAAAAAAACAAAAAAAAAAAACATTTTTATAATTATTTTGAAGATAAAAATGTTATTTCTTTAAATAACAAGTAGAAAACAAAGCTAATTGCTAGTTTATTCTCTATTAGATTGTGTAAAAAAAAAAAAACAAACTATATATATATTTCATACGACTTCAATACCTACCAGAAGAAAATTGGTATTTAGTAATTTCTTTACACATAGCTATAAGAATATTTGCTTGAAAAAAAAAAAAAAAAAAAAAAAAAGTTGATGATATAGTCAAAATACTTATTGGTACCTAACAACCTTTTATTTGGAGAAGTAAGGTGCAGAAATTAAAACTGGTTTATTTTAGCTACAAAAATCTTGGTGTATCAAGTTCATCACAAAATATCAATGGTTCATATCTATTAAACAATTCAACTCTTCAAAATAGGAACAAACTAATGACTGAAAAAATTGCTTTGTTTATACAATGTTTATTATACTAAACTTAATAATTACACTGCATTAATGAACTTTATTTTAAAAGTGTGATTTGTGTAACTTGTGAAATTTTACATTAAGAGTAAATACAACAAAATTGATCTTTTTCTGTAACATTTAAAACTGAACCTAGATTTCATTATAATAATCTGTATAACCCAAAGAAAATTTTATAAAACTATTTTACAAAGACTTGAATTAGCTTTGGATACTAGTATTGTGAACCAAATTTTGGATGTATGAGAAAATTGTACATACATTTTTTGACAATAGCTTAACTAAATCCAGATTAACACATTTGTCTATTCTTTCTGATTGTATAAAAAAAGTTTGTTTTGTTATAATTAACAGTCAACTTTTATAGATATACACAAAAGGTATCAATGAAGAATCATAATTTATGATATATTAGAAATATGAAATATATTTGTTACAAAACATGAACCAATTATATTAAATTCAAATATTCACATTGAATAATATCAACTATCATGTAGCAACATAAGATTTTGAACTGTAAGCGTTCTCAAAGCAAATTTGTTCAGGAAAATAACTCACTCTCCCAACAAACGCCGTAGCCAAAAATGCCCGAATTTTCTTCCGAGGTACCTGATTATCTCGTTCACTACACTCCCCCCTGTCACATAAGTGACACTCATGGGCGGGCCTCTTTATTCTTAAGCTTCTCCGGAGCAGGGCGACTGTTGGAGGAGATTGTGTGTTATGTTCTGAGGTTTCTTCTGATCTGACAACCTCATGCGCAGAGTCTTCATCATCTGAAGAATGTTCTGAAGATTTTTCTGGTCTGACAACCTCACGCACAGAGTCTTCACCATCTGAAGAGGTGCTAGCCCTACCTCCAATGGTAATTATTTGTTCACTTTCTGAGCACTCACTGCTAGTGTCACTTGTGGACGTATCTGTACCTACATAGCGACGCAAGTCCTTTATGTGTCTTGGAATGCCATCAACCAGCACAGAGCGCTTGTTACTTAGTCCAGTGACATGCCCCACACAGTACAGGGTTGTACACCGGCTATGTGGAGCTTTCACCCACACGCGATCGCCCAAGTCATACGACGCACATTCGTCTATCCGTTCAGTTGAACGCGTTGCGTCAATGCCTCGTAGCCGGACTTTGTACTGATAAATCATGTTGGCTGGCGCAGCTGAGGGCGATACATTATTGTCTCTCGGAGTAACATTGTACCAATACACCGCCTCCATTATGGAACACTGCTTCCTAGCAGCAATTCTTTTGATGCTCCGATGACATCGCTCGATTATGCCATTCCCTGATGGGACATACGCGCAGCGAAATCATGATTATCTCGTTCACTACAGATTTTAAAGCTGTAAATCTTTTTCAAGATCAAACACTGAGAAAGCAGTGGGTGGTTATGAAAGAAAACCATGTTGAACTATCCAGAAAAAGTTCACAGATGTTGCAAAATGGTAAAGTATAAAAAGCAGTTATTTAAAAAAAAAAAAAAAGCGCATGTGTAATTCAAATAAATGTTATTTCGATCTGGTCATTATTTTCTGAATAACTTGATATTTATTCTGTTATGGGAACACTGGCCCCTTTTTAAAAACTCACAATTTAGGCTAAGGAAACTGGACAGGTGTATACAAAACAAGTGACTTGTACAAGATGCCAATATTTGTATGTATGTGAGAGTATAAGATAGCTCAAAAACATATGGAATATATGACCAAGTGTCTTGAAAAAATATAAATTAACATGAATTTGTGTAAACATATTTAATGTAGGTATATAAAGACATGCTAAATCTGTTCATGCAAATCCCACAACTTGAAGGTTATACTAATGAACTTAATTTTGTCAAATGCCTTTCAGTAATAAAATAACAAAAAGTGTACTAGCTAATGCAATTATACCTATGAGAATTTTTTTCCAGAGATAGAGAGCAGAGGTAAATAGAATTTCAGATCTGATCTTACTAAGAGAAAGATAGTGAAAGACAAAATTAGGTAAGTGTATGTGTGTGTGTGTGTGTGTATATATATATATATATATATATATATATATTTGGTTGGATAGATGTGAGTTTGTGACCCTGGGATTCACACTTTAGCGATCGTCAGACAAACTGATTAATGTTTTAAAAAATTTGGGTTTATTTAGATTGTGTGTATTGGTGTTATTGTGGAAGTGGTGGGGGAATTTTGTCATTTTGTCATTCATCGTACTAACGCAAACATCGATATATGCAGACACATATACATACTTGGTCGTTCGTCGGGACTCATACATATATAAATGTATGTGGGCAGTTTTGGCTATGACACATGTATGTATACGGGTGGTGTTATGTCTATACATACGCATTTGTATGTTGAAATGTTGAAATTTAAACATTGGAAGTGTGGCGGAAATGTCACGTTAGTGTCTCGTGACTGTATACATGTCATATTATGTATTTTTTTTTTTTTTTTTTTTTTTTTTTTCGCTGAAAAATATTTTCTCGCATGTATGTATATACGTGTGGTGGGGTTTGTGTAAAATTATGATAGGTAAAAATGTAACAGGTAAAAATTTGTAATCCTTATTGTTTAATTTATATGGTGATGTTTAATATACTGGGTGAGAGGGTGGTTCAATTTAATAACGGGTCTATATGATATGATGTGATAGTAATGTTTCAAGGGATTGGAACAATGATATTTAGCTAATAGTTATTGTAAATTGGAAGAAATTGCAAATTGGTAGAAATGATTAGTAACGGTGGTGGGAGAATGATAAAACCATGAATGTAGTTATAGTGGTGGTAGCTTGAACTAAAAAGTGGTTGTTGGTGTTTTATTTTATTTTTGTTTTATTTTGTTATATGTATTAATTTATTTGGGTATAAATCCTGATAATAGGTATTCTGTGTAAAATTGTGGTAGTTGAAGATTGCTATAATTTTTAATTTTTAATTACAAAATTATTATATTAAAGCTGCCTGGTAATAGGTGTTTGTTCTCATGGTTACATATGGAAATTATATCTGATCATATCAAAATAATTGCACCTATCATTATTATAATTGCACCACCATTAGTAATCACTTTTACCACTTTACAATATCTATTAACTATCAATATTATCATTACCACCAACACACAGCACCATCACTTACACATCACACCCACTATTAACATATAATCCACTACAATCTTTATTATTCCCCCAGCATATTTAATACCTTAAAACAATATGATCACTTTTATATATGTATGAGTCCCGACGGATGACCAAGTATGTATATGTGTCTGCATATATCGATGTTTGCATTAGTATGATGAATGACAAAACGACAAAATTCCCCCCACCACTTCCACAATAACACCAATACACGCAATCTACATAAACCCAAATTTTTTAAAACATTAATCAGTTTGTCTGACGATCGCTAAAGTGTGAAACCCAGGGTCACAAACTCACATCTATCCAACCAAATATGTTAGCTCTATCTCTGATATTGAGCACTTTCTAATAAGTAAGTACATATAATATATAAATAATTATACATATATATATTTATTTATATTTATATACACTTTTCACACATATATATATATATATATATATATATATATATATATATATATATATATATATATATACACACACACACACACACACACACACACACACAAGGGAAGATGCTAAAAGTTTTCAGTCCAAGCAAGAAGGGATACTCCCTACCATTCTGATATTTGGTCAGATTTTGGAAAGTGGATTGGACCAAGAAACTTTTCAGCACCACTTGTATATATGTAATTATAGGCACATGACACATAAATGGGAATGTTTTTGTGAATTGCAGATACAATTAAAAAATATTTTAAAAAATAACTTAAAATTGCATACATACATTATATGAAGGAAAATATTCCTCTAAAATAGGCTTGTTATTCAAACAGATTACAAAAACATTTCTCAGTTATGATCATCCTTTAGCATTTTGAAATAACTGTAGATAACCTATTTTATTTTGAGAAATATCCAAGTGACTATAACAAATTATATATATATATATATATATATATATATATATATATATATATACACACACACACACACACACACACACACACACACACACACACACAAGGCCAAAAGTCAAACACCTACCTAAGCAGTAAATCAGGCTATCCAAACAAAGTAAAAATGCTTCACAGCACCAATGAGGCACAGCTTGAGTGTTGCATGCCAATTTTGTCTGTGGCCATTTCAGTCATGACTGAGCTAAAGTTGGTGGTCAACATTTCAGTGTCTTCCTCTAATGAAAGTACAGTGCACTGATGGTTGCTTGAAAGGCCTTACAGCTAGTGGGATCCTTCAGGCAGCCAATTTTGAATTTGAACCTGATGTTCTTGGGCTTAATCTTTTTCACCCTCACCTAAGAATTCATGATCATATGTTTATGGTCACTTATTATGTCAGCACTGGGAAATCTCATTTTTGCATTGTTGACATTCAATTAAAAATGTTTTTGAACTAGGAGAAAGAGTCAATGTGATTATGATGTGTTATGTTCTAAAAGCCTTTTACTCTTCAAGAATGTTACCCAGTACTAGGTTATAGCTGTCAAATTTCAGCTGAAATTTGCCTCTCTCACTGGGAGTGTCATTACAAGATGGGCCATAATGCTCTTCCCAGTCTTTCCTTGATTGTTGGCCAATTTTGGCATTATAGTCCCCTTGAATGATTATGTCTTTCTTTTTTATTTGGTTGATAATGCCCTGGAGTTGCATGTAAAACTTTTCACTTTCTTTATCATCATGGTCACTAGTAGGGGTATAAACTTGGATGATAGTGATGCTTTAGACATATGGTGATAAATTTGCTGGATATAAGTTAGCACCTAAGCATGGATCCTTTGATGGCTTTGTTGACAAGGAATCTCACATATAATGGTCAATTTCTCCAATGTAGTTTTCTTTCACTTTTACATATTTACTGATTTAAAAAGTAGAATTATTTCTTACATGTGGCAGTTAAATATATGGATAAAAATCATAATTACTTATGCAAAAAGTATAATCAATGCAATTGTAACATTGCTTAAATACTGTCATTATTTTTTGACAGCAAACTAGCTTCATAGATTTAATATATTTCATTGCATTGAACATAATATTTGAATACCAACCCTATTGTTTACAATAAAATAAAATTATTGATATCTAAAATATTCCTATCATTAAACAGAAAACACATTTTGACATCTAGAAAATAACTAGAGTTCTTACAATTGATAGAGATTTTTAATATTAAAAAAATTTTACTATATAAAATAGGATTAAAATTAATATCTAAAAAGTTATGAGTATTTTTTAGGATTCTATGATTTTCCAGATTCTTTTAATAGCATATTAAAAATCTTAGAAGTTTTGTAACAATGTAGATAATATTAGAGCATTTTTCAATATGACAAGCTACAGAATGAACCTCTTATTTCATACATTTTGAATAGTTACAAACTTTATTATTGATAGAAATATTAAAAAAATCAATAAAAAATATAAAGAAGGCAATTGACAAAATAAAGAATAGTGAGGTATAGAGGCATGCAATTTTGTACATGTTTATCAAATGATGAGCTTTAAAATATCAACATGCTGAGGAGGAAGAATTTGAAGGAGGAACATGAAAAAGTTTTCATGAGACTGAATATTTAATAACCTCCTCTTCAACTTCTGTTTTATCCACTTTTTCTTCTATTTCTGTTTTTTGTTCAGATTCCTCAGACTCCTACAAAAGTGCAGTGAAAATTTGGGATGAAATGGAAATGAGTGATTTTCTTATTGACAACTAACAAGCTATGAGTAAAAAAAAAATGACATAAAAACTAATACAAAAATAAAAACATCAAAACAAATACAAAAAAAGAACAAAAAGAAACAACAAAAACAAAAATCATAAAATGTGACTATTCAAAGAAAACTCAAATTGTTACAATTTAAAATGATGAATCAGATAAAGATCAGTTTTATAAATAAATTCAATTAAATATAATTACCAAATAATGAAAACTAAAATCTTTGCAAATTAATCTTTGTATTAAAAGAACAGAATTAGAATTTATTTTTAAATAATATGGTTAACAGTAACCATTAAATATTAAACATTATTTTTAAGCTAATCACATTGTTTCAATCACAATAGTTCAATTTAAAGACAGAAATTAAACAATAACAAATACTTTAATAATAAAATTTCAAATATACACTGACATGCTAAAGGTCATTGGAGAGCAATATATAAATGTAAGTAGCAACACCACACCATAACTTCATGGAAATGCCAAGACATATAAATTGTGCTCTGATATCTGATGGATCATTGTAAATTCTGGCTAGGCTGTTCATGGCAAGGTGACATGAATTATCAGTTTGACCAGAGCAAAATAGCAGGTGCCAGACAGAAAGGACATTTAACACCCCTTAATCTATAGTGTCACATGTGTACCAGGAAGACCTGATAGAAAGCATTATGACCCACTGTAGACAGTGCAGTGGTCAACTGTACATCCTAATGACTGACCAGAGGCATATGGCTAGAATTGTCAGCTGTAACAGATAAGTGATACTGGTTCAAATCATATCCACATACAATGCAAGAGATACCAAATGCACATATCAAGCAGATCAATTCAGCATAATTCCATGGGATATGAGGGCAAAAGATACACTAGGGTAACTGTTAAAACTATAATCCAATTGCTTCACATGGGCTTTTGAGGTCATTAATTGAAACCTGGAGATGTAACATGGTCACACTTCCAGATGATTAAGGACCCCATGAGGTCATGTGCCTCAGTCGTCAACAAGGCATCATGCAGACTGGTAGTGGTTCATTTATTGTCTGGGGTGCATTCATGTATTATAGGTTGGGTTCACTGAACTATCTGAACACATTGACTGATTACTACATTGTATTAGTTCATGATTATTTGCATTCATTCATGAACTTCATGTACCCCAACACAATGGATTATTCCACCAGGCCAATGAATGACATGACATGAGATGAGATGAGATTAATTGAGCATTTATGAGATGTGGGAGAGAGGTCTGTTTGCACACAAGATCCTGTACCTACAAAAATCATAGCTCAACATCTCTCCAGGTTTTCTAACTACTTGTAAACTCAATACCCTAGGATCATGCAGGACCTCATTGCCAAGCTAGAAGAGGTCCTGTATGATCCTAGACATTTATCCTATGAATTTTGGCTTGTCAGAATACATTTTTGATAAATGAGATAGGACTTCCTTAGGAAATGAAATTTAGAATCTACACTAAAATTACAGAAATCTGCTTTATATATTGCATATAATTTATAAAATTAATTGTAAATGTTTTTTTTTATTGTTAGAAATATTTAAAATATGCAAATTTAGAAACTACTACTGTCAAATCTAGGTTAAATTACAAACAAGACTCGGTTTAGTTTACAATTTATTCTACCAAGCTGCTTGTCATTTAGAGTTTAATGGGTGTCATGGTCACCATTACATACTGTACGAGTTAAAATAGTAATGGAATATAATGAAAAAATATTTGTGCTGTGGAGCCAGGTGCAGTGACTGGAAATATAAGTGATGGCTTAGCAAATTGTTCTTGTAAGTCTTGCTCTGAAAGATCAATCTCTTTGGATAAATAATCTTTTGAAGGTATTTGCTGAAGCAGATCCTCACATGTTCAACCAAACATGAATATTTTAAGTAAATTGAAAAGAAATCTAACAAAGAAATTTGGGTTGTTCATGAATTCTCAGCCTGTTGACCAGGAATGAAAACATTCCTTTTCTTCACTGAATTGTTACACGAGAAATGGATTGTATAAACAAAAAAAGCAAGGATTATCCAAACACTGAAACCAGAATTTTATTCACTATGTAGAAAAAACAACTTATGACTTATTAGGATCTTGGCAAAAGCATTTCCAAAGAATTTTATTGTCACAAATTATGTCAATTGTGCATTAGATTTGCCGAACAGAAAGTATGTCCTCTTCCAGTAAAACCTCACTCAGCAAAATCAAATGATTAAGACTGGGAAGTTTTACTTCCTATTTCATACTTACCAGACTTAACACCAGTTTCCATCACTGGGACATTTTTAGCACCAAGACTTTTAGAGAAATGGAAGATGTCAATTCAAATCTCTCAGCTTTTCATTAACATGAGAAATAGAAAAATTACCTTTATATTGGACTTCGGTAATTGCTAATGACAGCAATCATTGATTAATTACATTTGCATCTACTTGAAAATGTGATAATATTTCCTGTACAAAACAATGAATTTAATCCATTCTGGTGGTGTTCAAGTTTTAACATTGTTCTATTGCTATTATATAGTTATAAATTCATTCACAAATTTTACAGATAAAAATAATAAATTTTAATATGAAATTAACATAGCTTACTTTTCATGAATTTAGGTTTTTAATGCCTGCTAAACTCAACAGAATAGGCCGAATCATTGCACTTTCAAAGGAATTACTGACCCATTAAGTTTAATAAATTTTCAGTAAAATATTTTGGCATCTTAAAAAAAAAAAAAAAAAAAAAAGCTACCTCAAAATAATCCTTAATCTATGAGATAAATATGAATATATATATATATATATATATATATATATATATATATATATCCACACACAAAGATTACTACAAAAAACATGCTTTTGTCCAAATAAAATACAAAATAGTGTTTCTATATTTACAAAAAGTGAGAATATGATATGCATTTAAAGATATAGTATTTCATTATTTTTTTAAATTTATTAAAATGTTATATATTAAGGAGTGATATATAGATTTTTGATGGTAGTGTTGGTGTGTATATATATATATATATATATATAAGCAACACCAAAAAGATTGTAATTAGAGTTGATTTTTTACAAAAGAAAAACATGTGATTAAAAATAATCATATTGTTCCTACTAACGAGTATTATAGAGATTTTGAAATTTCACTTGTTTTGTGTACAAGTTTAATTTTTTTTTCAAGATGAGTTTGTAAAAGATTATAAATATGATAAAATAACTATTACTTATAAATAGAATAAAAAAAAAACAAATATTGAAAAGGCCAACATAAAACTGGATTGGGTGAATTTAAGACCCTATTAAAGATAAAGAATCCGTTTATCCTCATAGGTAGTACAGCTAAGCAGAATCCTCATAAGAGACATAATTGAAATTTTGAGCACTTTAAAAACATAAGAAATTTACAAATATTAATCTTAAAAATGAAACTTTGTAAGAAAAAATTAATTGGATAATTTCTGCAAATTTACTCTAAAACAATTAGCTTATTATTTTGAATAACATTTGGGTTGAGAAAACCTATTTTGGGCCAAAATATTATTCCCATTATTCAAATTCCAAAGAGGAAATAAATAAGAACTTTTCAAATGTTAGGAGTTTTAAAATAATCTCAAATTTTTATAATAAATTCAGACAATTCAAAATATTAAATTCTTTTTTTTTTTAATATTAAATTTATAATTATTAAATTACACCAAGAAAATATGAAAATTATACAACTGATTTCAAGAGACAAATTGCAAGAAGAATACAAGGGTATATAGATAAATTCTACATTTGCAACAATTACTCAAAGCAAGATTTACACAAATATATGCAGAGCCAGCATACAAACAAAAAATAAAGTAAAGATTTTTTTTAAAAATTAGCTTTTGCCCTATAAAACAAAATATTACAATATATTGTTTTGTCCTGTAATAAACTTTAAAAATGTACCCTTATTTAAGATGGATGACAGAAGCCAAATGAAAACAGAACTACAAGGCAGCTAAAAACAGAATGTGGAAAAAATTTGTTTTTTTACCTGACCTTATAATCAGTTTATACTTTCCCCCATAAAATAAAACTCTTAATAGAAAAAAAAAATTACAGAAAATTATTTTACACAGAATATGTCTAAAAAATTGTAGAAAAATGAGTTTTCTTTTAAGATATTTTGCTTTTCGTAAATTTTTGTCAATTTTATTTTGTGAAAGTTCATTATAGGATTTACATGGTTTTTAAAAGCTATCAGATTACAGCATTGTAACTTGTACTGGAGACGAGAAAGAAATTTCTTTGCCATGTTATTTTTTAAAGATTCCTTTCCCCAGTCTATTCCAAAAACTAAGAAACTATTAATGAAGCGCATGCCTGAAATATAAGAGCAGGTAAAAAAAAACAAAAAAAAAAAAAACAGACCAAATATTTTCATGATAATTTACTGATAGAAAACTGCTAACTAAGATTGCATATTATTACATTCTGTGCATGTAGGTTACCTGAATGTGAAAGACTGAAATCTTAGACAAAACGTGGTGCTCGATGCTAAAAAATAATTTGGAATAACTGAAATTGTTGATAGAAAAAACGCAATAAACAATGAGAATAACAATGAACTTAAAAATTATTTGAAACATGATTTATCTCCCCTTTGAAACAATCACCTACAAATAACGAGAGAAAAAAATGGATTAATTTTCCTGAAAATTGAAAAGCTGAGATGGAAGATTGATTTTAAGCCAAACAAAGAGAAAGAAGTTGAAGAAAAAGAAAAATGAGGGAAAATTGAAAATTTGAAAAAGAAAATTAAGTTGAGGATTATTTGGGGCCATTCCTGTAATTTGTATTGTCTGGAAAAATAAAAAAAAAGAATTGTAAAAACCAGAAAAACCTATTAACTCTCATAATCCAGAGATTGATAGTTTAAATG